TCGATGGAAGCTGTCCCACTCTTCATCAGTGTTGAGAGTTGGGTATGCTTCAGGATCGAGTTTCAAGCTCTTCTGGAACGAATCAGCAGGTGTACGACGATCAGGCTTAGATACAAGAGGTTGTGGTGAAGGAGAATTATTAAAAACTATAAAGTCACCTCTACATTGATAATTTAGGAATGCTTGTACGTCGATGTTCATGCAATTGATCGGGGTGATCGGATCGCGATGGACGTTTTGACAAAGGTATGAATAATCAAATAAAGCCCGAAGAGTACCACGATGGGGCCGCTCAAGCTGAGTAAGCTGAGTTTGGCTGGCCAGTATCCACCCCGTATTGGTCGATGACGGGTGCATCATACTTCAATGCAAGGAGCTCATTCTCGTTGTAGGAGAGGAGGTGCATGAAGTGTGAACATCCATCGCGACGAATAGCGAGCATGAGTGGGCTGTCTAGGGGCTCTTGAAAGAGGGTTGTGACAGCAAATTCAAGGCTTGCAAGGGTATGGCCAGGTTGTGCGGTAGCATTGACAGGCGTACTGGCAGTATTGCCAACAGTTGGAGTAACAGGGCTGACAGGTTGGTTGGCAGCACCAGCAGTAGGAGCGGGTGTGGAGTTTGTACCGCTCCGAGTAGTTGGCATGTCTGGTTTGTTGTTGGGGTGGAAAAGTAGGGGAAGAGTCCTCTCACGAGAGCAAAGACTCTAGGGACAATGCCTGTCCCAAAACTCTTAAAATCAAAAGGTCGGTCGAGTGATTCCCTAGCGAGAAGGGCTCGAATGGGTTGACGTTCAGAACTAGTGAGTTCCCTACGGTTTCACTAGTCCCAAGGATTGCGGTTAGGCTTTCCTGGTTTGCTTGAACAGCAGTTGAGGTCAAAGCAGAAGTGAAGGTCCCAAATCTGGAACAAGGAGCCGTCCGTTTTCTATGGACTTAACTCCCTTAACCTTCTTAGATCCGTTTACCGCCGCACTCGACAACCAGCAAAGTGAAAAGACCTAACCGAAGTTGATCGATTGCAGGTGTGAATACGGAGATTGGTCTTCTAAGTCTGTAGGAGACTGACTGCAGAAAACTACAAGAGGCTGGATGAAACCCCTTGACCTTTACGGGTATAGGCGTCCTGGTGCTCCAAAGACTAACAAGTACCTGATTGAAAAACTGGCTGGTTATTAGGTGGAAAAAAAAAGAATGCAGCACGCCAAAAGTTGTTGTGCAAGCAACGACAATCAACTCCTGGGGTGCTGGGAAGGACTGCGGGAAACTGTACTCACGAGCGTACATAATCCAGAACAAGTTTCAGTCGATTAAAATAAATTGATCTGCGTGCCGCTGTCTGCTTTTAGGGACGAGAACCACCTCGTTTAATTGCAGTACAGCCTGGCAATGAACCTCACGAGTTGTCTTTGTGGTGGATTTCTCAACACCGGAAGCAAAAGACAAAAAGTGGGGGAAGCACGGGTTCAGCGGATGCCCAGCGCTTGACTCCTTTTAGTTTCCAATAGGGTTGGAAAACCAAAATATAGAACCACCGAAATAAAATTGAATCCAATACCCTTGTGCCGTTGGGTCTTCGCGTAGTCGTCAACAGTGATGGGTATGGAGGCCCAATTAAAGTTCAGTCGACTTTGAAACGCGGCAGCTATAAACCTTTGAGATTGATAAACCAGAGGAAAGAGGTAAAACTCTGGTCTTCAACTGAAGGTGTCGGAAAGGAATGGGCCAGATCGCAAGTGTGGGTGTTGTGATGTGCCAAAATGCCAATGAGTCGGCAGTGACTTGTAAATTGCTTCTGAGGGAAGCAGGGTACGTTTTCCTGAGGGAAAAACGGCGGCAGTTAGCTGATGGCGTAACTGCGACTGTTAATCTGACAGAATATTATTATTCTTGGGGAAAGCTCGAGATTACACTAGAAGATAAGGATATCAATTCAAGGTAAACAAAACACGACGCGATGAGTATCGGGAATTGACCAACAGTTGATGCGCTTGATGGCAAAGTTCCAACTGTTCTCATCCGATGACACGTCATCATATCTATTTTACTATTAATTACTATAAGACCCATAAGACCGCTAACGTACTAATCATATTGGTCCTTCTGTCAGGACGTTACCATAAAAATGTCCAACTATTCAAAGTCACATTAGTCAAACCATTCTCGAATTGTATTTTTTCCATAAAAATTTACGATGTCAAATGGGAACATGGCATGACATTCAACATGTGTGCATTGTTTGTCACCACAGAGATAAAAAGGTAATTTTTGCCTTGTAAAAGCAGGACCGAATTAATTAATGATAGTTTTATCGTGAAAAACAGTGATGTTCGATTCAGCAATCATATGAATTCTATAGTACTCATATACAATATGAAGCTGAAATAGTTAATCTCTACAACCACAAGTATTTTGTTCTTCATCCGCCGGCTCACCATCACAAAACAGGTTGATGTGGATGGTCGCAACCCCCACGGATACAACATGGACCAATTGGGAAGCCATTTGCAGAAAGATTGAGATGAAGTGCTGTGCCATCTGTGAGGGCGACTGGTCGCTTTTCTTGAGGGTCGCCTCTAGCCGCCTTCACTTGAGCCGCCTCTCTTTGCATCACTGCATTGAGCCCTTCCTTGCCATCCTTGCCTTCTTCGCAATCTCTTTGACGGTTGACAGCCTCACTGATGTTTGACCTTGCAAATGCTGATGCAAAAGCTTCACTTTCATTGTCATTTGCTGTGTCGTATGTTGTTGCATTTATTGTTTGTCGCCGTTTTCTTGCTGGATTATTGTCACTTCTGTCATTTGAACAAGTTCTTGCTGGTGTTTTCTGATTACAGTCACAGGTACTGATTGTCCTAGAATTCTGAAATCTTTGGCTTGCTGTTCTTTCGGATTTCCCCCCTACGAACGTTTCTTCTTGTCTGCCTTGTCTCCTCAGTGACAACAGCCAATGGGTGTTGTTGTCATCTCCATATTCCTTGTTGTCGCGGGATTTCTTCTTGTACTTGTAGCTTCTTCATTTTCTTCATCATCTTCTTCTTAGATCATCGATAGCTCTGTTGGATTTGCTTGATCTGTTTCTTGTGGTTGTCGTGCCAACTTTTTGGATTCCAGTTCTTTTTTCAGTGTAGTGGCCCATCGGAACAATCGCTTTACATCAGGAAGCTTCAAACGATTTTTTTCCGTTGCAGTTTTAAGGAAAATATCATCGGCTTCCTCAATTGTCAAGTTTGCAGTTTCAAGTCTTGTTTGCATCCTGTGTCTCAATATATTTACATGGGGTCCTAATATCATTGAATTTGCCTTCTGCACCATTCCACTTGTTGATTCAACCTCTCATTAAGAAATGCAGGTTCATCCTTGCTACGTTCCTCAAGCATCATGATCATTTGGTATCCATAGCCCTTCTAGGCGCTTTGAGAGACTATGGCGGCTTTGATTTCTTCTTCAGAAAAGAAGGCTTGGGCATGGATTCGCTTGTTGTTGTAGCTTGAGAAGATTTTGGGTCCAAGGTGGTGAAAATGGGTGGACGATGCCTGACGACCTAAGCAATTGGACTATGCCAATACCAATTGTTCCATTCTGATTTTCCTTATTCCAATGGAGGTGGACACAAGTCCGGCAAAAGTTGTCTAATTTTGCATTTTATGATTGCCTACCAACTGTTGCAAGTATCCCTAGTACATTTTGGTGGTGATCTAGGCCCCAAAAATCCTGAAGTGATCCGAAAAGTTGGACGATTGTCCGCCCATTTACATAAGGAGTCCTACAAAACGTCCGCCATTTGTCTGTGAATCAGAATTTCCTTTCTCCTTTTTTCTCCTTCCCTTTTTTTTCTTCCCTTTCCCCTCGTCTTGTGTCCCCCAACAGGAGTAATATCCCCAAAAATCACAACTACATTTTATACGTAGGGAGTGACGTTTGATTTTTGTGTATATGACGTCATGCCAGTGACGTAATTTTTGGATCAAAGGGACCGACTGATGGCCTGGATCCTCCCACAACTCATCGCTTGGTTCTTTATTTGATCGTTGCACCGATGATATTCAATCCCCACAACCTAGGAGTGCACAAAGTGCTCAAGCATGTGCCTCTCAATGCTGTCTTCGATGCGCCATACAAAAGAGCCCTGAAAAAGGCTGTAAACATAGCAGATCTTCGACTCATTGCTAAGTCTCGAGCACACAAGGTAAGTTGAGAAACAGCAGAATCTGTCAAGGCGAGTATTTCATACTCATGTATTTCAAAAGATGGTCTTTGACTATCTTGATGCTGGATCCGATGACGAAATCAGTCTAAGGCGTGGCAAGGATGCGTACACAGAATTGGAGATGCACTACAAGATTCTGGCTGGTATCAAGCCTCCGCTTGATCTGTCCACGAAGATCTTTGGAATGGATGTTAATCTTCCGTTTTTTGGGTGCCCTACAGCAGGGAACCGAATGTTTCATTGGGAAGGAGAAACCGCAGCTGCAAGGGCAGCTGAGACGCACGGAACTTTGTATGGTCTGTCTTCTCTAGCGACAACTGGAATTACGGAGATCGGGGAACTTCACAACGGTCCAAAAGTTTTTCAGCTTTATGTGTGGAAAGACAGAGAACTAGTCAAAGATGTCATCGCAAAGGCTAAGGAAGGTGGTTTTGGCGCATTGGCGCTGACCGTCGACTTCACTTGGTACGGAAATCGGGAGCGCGATATTAGAAACGATTTCTCGATTCCGCCAAAATACTCAATTCCACAGATAATCGAGGCAGTTAGGAAGCCTGCGTGGACTTATGACTTTCTGTCGCACGATCCCTACACATATGCCTGTATCAACACAGAGGTCCCCGCAGATTCTCTTGCAGCATTTGTGAACAGTCAAATTGCACCTGAGTTCAACTGGTCCGACGCGGAATGGCTGCTTGGAGAATGGAACGGGCCTGCTGCTCCAAAGGGTGTTGTGAGACCCGAAGATGCCAAGAAGGCAATTGAAATTGGTTTCTCTTCTATCTGGGTGTCCAATCATGGAGCACGTCAGCTTGAAACATCCCCCGCGACAATCGACGTTCTTCCATCGATTCGCGAAGCTGTGGGACCAGACGTCGAAATTATAATGGATGGTGGAGTCCAACGTGGCACAGATATTGCGAAGGCAATTGCCCTTGGTGCTGATTCTGTAGGAGTTGGAAAGCCATATCTTTGGGGATTGGCAGCTGGTGGCTATGATGGGGTCAACAAAGCATATGATATCCTCAAAGTTGAGCTCGACAGAGCAATGGGTTTGTTGGGAACTCCAACTGTGGAGGATTTGAAGCGGGAGGGTCCAAGTCTGATCAAGAGAAGACATGGAAGCTCCAGAGATTATCCTGATCGGTACGCATTCGATCGTGGATATGGAGGAGGTGTCGTTTAAATTTCAATTCGAAGTTGCATTCAGTCACAAACTAGTGAAGTGATTAATATTGGAGCATGTCCATTTTCCAAATTCGCCATATTTTTATTTTAGGCCATTTGCGGCTTAGGGGGGGAGAAGAGGAAGAAGGAAGAAAAAGGAGGGCGGAAAAGTATATAAAAATATATACTGTCTGTATGTCTATACGATTGTAGTGGTCTATGCTCCAACCGACACATGCGTGAGACGGAGGATATGGCGCGAATGTCACAAAGTTGTTTGATTTGTGATTTCCCATCAGATTTCATCATCTCACTACACTAAACGAAACATGAACAGAAGTGGTAGCAGAATCGTGAAGAAGCACCTGAACAGTAGAACAGTCGATAATACGACTGCTATTCTGGGAGATGGTGCCACCAATGCTGAAGACGAGCTTGGACATGACTTCAAGCAAAGACTTCAAAAAACTTTGTCACATGAAAAAACGGACAAGACCAGGAGAGACTACCGCAATCGAATTCTAAGAATGACAAAGTATTTTCAACAGAAGTGCTTCAGATACTTTGAAGTTGGTGTTCGCAAAAACACATCTGCAGAAATGAATGATCCTGCAATGTACTTTTATGATAAGTACAAGTATGATCTTATTTATGCAGGTCTAAACGTAGATTACAAAGTTTCTCATGGATCAAGAGAGAACTGCAGCAGGCAATCTGCGCACCAAGGCAGACATGCAAAAGTTTTGAGATGCTATCAAGTGGGGTGCCCAAATCCGTGGCGAAGCACTGTCCCAAGAGTGCTGGGACAAATTGGATCTTTATCTTTTCTCCTACAAGCGACAGGTTGCAGCTGGGAAGGGGAATGGGGATGTCCAAACAAAGGAGGCAGACCCAATCACAAAAGAGCTTTACATGTTAATTTGCAAGTGGGCGTCTGAAGATGGCAATACAATGGTAGACTTTTGGACAAAGACCCAGTGGAACTGCATGAGCCGTTGTGGCAACATTGACTACCTTGGATTCAGCAACTTCAGAATTGTTTTGGATGCACATGCTGTTACACATGACACTACAAAAAAGGATAAAGATGGCGATAGATGTTTTGCTAAACACATTTATGCAAATCATGAGTATCACTATTTGTGCCAGTGGACAGCCATGGGTAACTACTGTGCCTTGTACAAAAACGAGCTTGGACAAACTCAGAAACTTTTCATGTGGAATACCAAGGACGGCAGTGCTGCAAAGAAATATCAAGAACAGCTGAAAGCTCTTGTGAATAAAACTGAGGAAAGGAGAAACATTGTTAGTTCTCATTGTCAAAAAGGGCACTTCAATGCTTACGGTTTGCGGAAAGGAGCCGCAAGCTATGCAAGCTCAGGAACCACATGTGCCCCGTTCCTTTCTTCTATTGCACACCGTGGTGATTGGTCAATGGGCTCGGTCTTTGACATATACTGGAGATTTTTGCCAGTTGGCGATCATTACTTGGGCCAGATACTATCAGGAAAGGACCCAATGAAACCATCATTCAAGACCTTACCTCCACATTGGAAAATGGCAAATCCGATGGGCCACCCACTGATCCGCGAAGTCATGAACGCCAACTTTGGTCCCATCTTAAAAACACATAGTGAAGCGGACTATGATCCTACAGGTTTGTTGTTGCGTTGCCTAGCATGCATGGTATGGCATGCCAAGTCGTTCCAGGAGTACATTGCCCATAACCCAAGCAACGAACTTGTCAAGGTTCCATTCTACAACATGAGAGGATCAGAAATTGACGCATTGCAACAGCTTATCACTGTTGAACCAACTCCCGATGTCATGACCACTGTTACTGGCGTCCCGCCACACATTGAAACAACTTGCCAAATGAAGGCAATTCATGACAACTTAATACAGTTACTTGCACAAACAAGAATCAGTGAGGACAACCAGAAGCAGCGCGACGAGCAATTGAAGGCAGACCTTGTTGCGGCTGTTCACCATGGAATAGAGCAGAATGCAATTTCGAACGGCAACATTACTGCAAAAGGTATCAATGACATCATTCAAAAGCACCAAGACGCAACAAATAAACAACTTACCGAACATTTGCAAGCAATGCTTAGGAGCCTGCCTCCTCAGTTCCAAGGTGGTCAGCCAGCTCAGATTCCGCCACCTGGAAATCAAGTTCAGCAAGGGGGTGGATTGTTGCTTCAAAAGCCTGATCAAGGAAAATACTTTTACACCAAAAGGTTCTGGTCCGTTCCGGAAGACTTTGAGTTCCCTCCAAAGCCAAACCTTCCCCAAGCGCTTCGATGCTGGCTCAAGGGTATAAGGTATGGCAACAATTATGTGAAACCATTTCGCCAGCTACGACCAAAGGACCTCCCAACCACAGCACTCCAGTCACAGATGCGAGTTGAATGGCAGAAATTTTTCAAGTATCTCGAGAACAATGGGTTAGAAATGCCTAGTAACACGAGCGAAGAAGTGACTGAAGCACAATTGGAACGTACTACCGATGAGATGTGGGACCTTTTGGAAAAAAAGGTTTCCTATGCATTCACAAGAAAGAATGCAAAAAGCCACTGTCTTTCTACTTTCGCAAGGAAGGTATCGCCGTCAGAAATTGTTAAGAATGGAAATCCGTCAGATAAAACTTACTTGGAATCGAGGCAGAAGGCAAAACCTGCCGCACGACAGTATAAAAATCGAGTCCGACCGCTGGCTAAAAATCCAAAGTACCTCAGAAGAGGAAAGCAAAAGACAACAGCAAATGCAACGAATCCAGCAAGATTGCAACAGGCAACAATTCATGCAGGAGCGGGTATCTTGCTTGAGCCGATAGACCACTCACCTCGTGTCTTGAATTCGACTCGATATTCAATTGAAGCAAATGCAGAACAGGATCGAATGATGGAAGAGTATGGTGTTGGTCGTGGTCCAACTGGGCCTCCAGCTGTTGCCATCGGACATCACGACCAAACATCACCCACATATCTTCAAGAACTCATTGACAGATTTGGAATCAGGCATCCATATCCGCCAATATCAGTTCCAGGACCACTAGGACCATGTGCTTGTGCCGGTTGCTCCAAAGAGTTGGAACTTGGGCGACACCGATGTGCCCGATGCAACATCGTCATTCACAATAACTGTGCGATGGATCGAAATTGGTACATGCAAAAGAATGGTGAGGAAATGTGTTTTTGTAGTGATCAGTGCAAAAAGAATCTTCCCGGTGGAAGATACTTGTAGGAAATACCTTGAATAAAAGTAAATGCATGTTTCATCGTCGTCGATTGATGGTTCATGATTTTCTGTCTTTTTTGATGAACAACAAATTCGTTGTGATTGGAATTGTGTCAAATTGGTACAAAATCAACGTACAAAATACGTAGAAACACCGTGTGAATTTAGTATACGAAGAAACCCGGAAATAGATATACTTTTCGGAAAGCGTACTCGAGCGATTGTTCCTCGTACAAAATTCCACGTGTGCCTACACAGAAAGCGGAACTCAGCAATCCGGAATATATATGTTTTTTATATACTCATTCATTTTCGAATGCTCATATTAGTCATATTTATATACTAATATGAAAGTTTTAAAACGCGCTTGTTTCATCGGGAAAATTCTTAGCAAGATTGATTGACAAAGTTCTTCCGATGTCATAAACAAATCAAATGGCATCCAGGGGGAAGCTAGATGGGGAAAAACCGAAGCAACCAATCAAAACGATTCCAATTTGCAATTTCACTGCACCATCTTGATAAAAAATAGATATGAATTTCAATAAAATTAGATAACGATATCAAAAGTCATAGATTGATTTCAGCCAATCCAATAGCGCCGAGATTCTGATCAAAACGAGGCGTGGACGAAAGAGGTTTTCGGAAACCAGGCATTTATTACTTGGTCTTCTCGCACGGCGGAATACTCTGGTTGGGCAATCTCCAAATGCCCTGGCTGGTGGGCCAATGTCAACATGGAACCATCTTCCGACGCCCAAAGCTACGATGACATCGCTGCGTTCATCCTGACTGGCCTGAAGGCGTACGACCCATCACTCGGCGGTTCGATGCCACAGCTTTAATCCAGCATGCAGAATCTGTTCTCCCTTGGAGATCTCGAAGATGCCGACAACGACAAAGGTTCCTGGGCTCTTCGCGAGTACTTTCTTCGTCTCGCGACACAGTGCCCCACGGTTGTGTTTGATCTTGCAACGGCCCAACGCGTTATCACTACGGACGAAAAGTCGCCTCACTTTTAGGAATTTTCGCTCGTGTTCGACCTGACATTAATTGTTCAACGCGCGGAGCCGTTGACGTGGATGTGGCTAGCGGCAGCCGAATTCTTTGCTCATCCTTGGACTGGCCCTGCGATCATTCCTCCCATTGTGGAGGAATTTGAGCGACTAGAACGAGAGTCAAAAATAGCCAAAGCTCAGTCCAAGTCTAAGAAGCGCCCTGCATCAACTCCAGAGAATCCAAAAGGTGCCAAGGCACACGATTCGCGCCCGTCTCCCTCTGTCCTGATGCAAACGGAACTGACGCCACCAAAGGGTCGGTCCAATCCCTACCAACGAACTCCACCTTCGGATGCCACTCCTCCTCGCCAACAAGTGGTCATGTCTGACGCCGTTCACGTCATTGCCGGCACC